CAATAATTGCAGCACCTCGTTCTCAGCCTATTGCACAATAACTGGGATAGCTAGAATTAAAATCTGAAAAACATGACCTGAAGTAACCTTAAATTGTGGTGTTAAATTGCTCTGTGCTGTCAGTGACTTGCCAGATGCAAAAAGATAGCAGGAAGACTGATTTGGTAAATGTTTGCTTTCCAGTATGTTCAAGCAGATGCTCCAACCAATAAAACCTTGGCTGGGCTTGTGGTGCAGCTGCTGCAGTTTCAGGAAGATGCCTTCGGAAAACACGTTGCCAATCCTGCCTTCACAAAGTTTCCTGTGAGTATTCAGGAGCTCCTGGGAGGAGGTCATCTTCAGCTGCTGTTGGCCTTGTGCTTCGTCCCATGTGCCTGGGTCTAGGGCGGCTTCTAATCAGAGCAGAAGGTTGTGTGTGAACATCTTCACTCTCTTGCCTGCAAGACCAGCCCGGCCCCTTCAGTTGTGGTTTTCTAGAGACAAGTGAAGACCACCTTGTGTAGGTGGCCTCTCAGTCTGCATTGCTTACTACCACTTTAACCAGCTAGGGATCTTTACTTGCCTCTTGGTGCAGTGGACTAGGTCAGCTGCCCCTTATTTCATAAAAATTACAGCGATCACAGCCTTGTTGAATTGAGGTGTCAACATCTCTGATACACTGGGCTAGCAGTGATAAACCAGAGTCTTTGCGTGGCTCCGTTCAGTTCCTCAGAAGAAGCAAAACTGAAAAGGCCTGTGCATCAAACTATTATACTGTCACATGGTTCTCAGTGGCTCCTGTTTAGCGCAAAGATTCCCTTAAATAAGTAAGCTTCCTTGGGATCCAGGGAGAGGCAGACATAAATATCGCATCTCAAGGCAGATTTATTTTGGCAGTGTCTCACTTGAGTAGATTCCACAACCAACGGAGCTGGAGATTATGCCCCTGTACAAAGTCTGTCTCTAAGGTGCAAACTGTTATGCTGGAGTTTTTACAGCAAGCAGTTAAAACCATAGTTTGTCAGGAAATGCATGAACCTTGGACCAGAACACTCGGTTTAAACCATTCTTGTTTAAACTCGCCATTTCTCTCCATGGGGTGGAGCCGGGATGGGCAGCCATACTCCTCTTGCAGACCATATTGGAATGCAGCCCAGGAGCGGAACGAGAGCCCGTCAACATCCAGGACTAGGTGTATTTGTCACATTTATAGTCTGCCTGTCCTCCTGAGAACTCAGGATGGCTCTTCCCTATGAGGTTGGTTAAGCTCCTTGAATGGGGCTGTCCCGAGGTCAGCCAGTTCCACTTCATGGCCCCGTGGAGATCTGAGCCAGGCCTCCTACTTCCGTGTGCAGCAGGCTGAACGACGCCGGCACTATCTTTCGATGCACAAGGGCAGTTATTGGTGGTAGCCATGTCATTGTCCTCATGCCCTGGAGATTTCTTGTGGACAGATTCATGCCCTTGTTTATTGTTGTAACAACTATGGGATCCTGTTTCACCATCTTGGAGGCTTCTTGTCACAAAGAGCCTTTTGGGGTTTTTTCTGAAGAAAAGCAGGGTAAAAATTAATCTATTAAAGATTTTACTTTCCTCCTTCATGGCTACAATATTTTATATGATAAAAGTAGTTTTTTAAAAAGTTATTTTAAAAAATATTTATGCCCTGCCTTTCTCCTAATAGTGATAATATTCTGGTTTAATACATAAATCACATCCTTGTTGGGAATCCTAACAAGCTTTGTTAAAATATTCGTTCTAGCTTTTACCGTGCTATGGATTCTCAGATAGTCCATATGTTCGTTAAGCTTGTAGATCCATGTTCATTATGAAGGTTTTGCTTTTCATTCTTCTCCTTTGCAGAGACAAAGGAAACATTGAAGAGCAAACACAGCAGAGGCACAAACGCTGAGACCGTGTGCAGGGCCAAAGGGGACTTGAAATCTCATGCCGTGTGTGCAGGGAGACATCTGTACTGTTTTAAATTTACACCCAGCAACCCTGGGCCTGCCGTGATTTCCATAAGGAATTGCTTGGGCCACTTGGCAGGGTCGGATCCTGCTGTTGCTTTTGCCTGTGACTTAATAGCTTGCTTTTGGATATCACATTTTTTTTAAAAAAAGGTCTTTCTTTTAGGCAAAGTGCTTCATGGATTTCAAAGCTGGAGGCACGCTATGCCACATTCTTGGTACTGCTTACAAGTATAAGAATGAACAAGGATGGTAAGTCCCAATCTGCTCCGTTCAATCTTTTCCCACACAATTTCCACCTCTTCTCCAAGGGTAGGTCAAGTGGACGACAGACATCTTGCCTGCTGGTTTTTAAGCAACAGTTGAGGGGGATACATTTACTTCAGGTAGCAGATAGGCGGGATATAAATGAAATAAATAAATAAATTTATTGAAGTATGATTTTTTGGTACAGTGGGGTCTTGACTTGAGAACTTAATCCATATTGGAAGGCGGTTCTCAAGTCAAAAAGTCTGTAAGTCAAGTCTCCATTGACCTACAGTGCATTGAAAACCGGTTAATCCTGTAACAGGCCGTTTTTGTTCCATTTTGTTTTTTTTCTGGTCTGTAAGTCAAATCTCAGTCTGCAAGTCAAACCTAAATTTTGCAGCCAGAGAAGTCTGTAACTCAAAAAGTCTGTAAGTCAAGCCGTCTGTAAGTCAAGGGTCCACTGTATTAAAGAAATGTTCTTTTGTATTTTTCTGCGTTTTATGGTCCTGTAATTCAGTGACTTTATGTGTCATCAAAGAAATTCCGATCCAGATGGATGTAAAGTTTAGCAATTTGCTTCTCTTTTGGCTGCTGAGATCTTCTGGCAGCCCATGTTAAGCGTTTCTGGTTCCCACTGTGGCTTTGCTTTCCTAAGGACTGATAAATCGCTGAGGCCAAAACAAGGCAAACATGGCTCTTGTTTCTTCCACACAGTTTCCAAAATAGTCTGGAATCGCGGCTGCTTTTAAACAGAATACTGGATCAGGGGTTGGGCTCAGCCAGCAAAGCTACTTTCCCAAATGTTGCTGAACAGAGAAGGACATGGAATGAGAGCAGTTTAGTCAGTGCTCCCACCTGCCTCGTTTTTATGCTGGGTTTTCATCGTCCAGCCCCCAGGTTTACACTTCTGCCCTCCGGCAGCCTTCATACTTTGAATGCAGTGTTAGAACAGGTAACCGTGTTAGTCTACATATCAGCATATCAGACAAAATCCAAAGAAACAAAATAAACATGTGGTTCCTCTACTGTCTATATACTCTTCACCCCTCCTTGGAGTTTTTAACAGTCTTCACTCCCCCCTCCCTCTTTTGCTCATGCCTGCCATTGTTTTCTGCCTGCTAGAGTAATGTTTACAACCAAACATTAAACATAGGCCATCAATCACTGCATGTGAGATTTAACCTACTTCGTAAGACTCTTAGTGCCAATGAATGTTTAGTATGTTTTACTTGTGTAATTGGTATTTCATCCAATATTTTCTTTTTATTCCATATGTCTGATGAAGCTGACTTGCTCAGGAGAGCTCAGAGTAAAATATAATAGTCTTTACGGTGGCACCATGTTTTCCCCCCTTTTGTTCCTTTGGAGTTTGCCTGATCCTCTTGGAATGGTTTCATGTACCCTCTGACCTAAACCAAAGCTATGTTTATTGGTGGGGAGAAGTTCTTGGAGGGTTCCTGTTTGGGCCATCTTCACCCAAAAGGTGTGACGTTTAACATTTCAAGTCCGGAATTGCGTTTCTGCCTTCAGTCAGTGTGGCCTTGCCAGGTGGCGAGTACAATCCTCAGTCTCTTACTCTCTTTTGTGTCAAGGGTCGCTATACAATTACCATAGATACATGTAGCTGTGTGCTGTGTAACCTGACATTGAACCAGGACAAAGAAGATGAACTCTTCCAAGTACAGTGGGGCCTCGCTTGATGTTAATTTGTTCCAGCGAAATCACTGTAGAGCGAAAACGTCATCAAACGAAATGAAAAAAACCATTGAAATGCATTGAAAACCATTCATTGCGTTCCAATGGGATGAATACCTGCTCGTCCCGCAAAGATCCTCCATACGGCAGCCATTTTCAGTGCTTGTAAAGTGAGGCATCCATCCTAGAAAACAGTGGGGGGGTGGGTGGCCATTTTCTTCAGCTGGCGGCCATTTTGAAACCCGACAATCAGCTGTTTGCTGATCGTCATAAAGCGAAAATCAGTTCCCGAAGCAGGGAACCAATCATCACACAGCGAAAAAACCCCACTTAAAACATTGTTTTGCGATCGCAAAAACGTCAACATAAAGCGGATTCATCGTAGAGCGAGATAATCGTCCAGCAGGGCACGACTGTACTTACAACTTTTTTTTCCTTTGCAGGCGGAGGTTTGATTTGCAGAACCCTTCCCGCATGGATCGAAATGTAGAAATGTTTATGAACATTGAAAAAACATTGGTGCAGGCAAGAATTCTGCTAATAATGTTATGAATCCTTTGTTGATCTATGGCAGGAAAATGTCTTTTTTTAAGCTTGAAGGTTCATTGTGACTTTTATCCGTGTAAAAATTGCAGATCTTTCATACATAGAATGGAGTGCCGTGACTTCTAACTTTGCTCTCCTTTTGCCCCATTTTAAAAATAAAGGCTAGCTGAGAAGGTGGGGAGTGGGAGGGAAAGAGTTGTGTAGGTGTAAAGAGCACTGAGAGTTCAAAGTCCGGGCAGTAGTTTTGGACCTATAAAAGGAGTAGTCACTTCCTTTGGTTTTCTTTTTGACTAATCTCCTCAGGAGTCGGGTGAGGTGGATCACTTTCAGCAGGGGATACACAAAGTGAGAGGGATTTACTGGGGATCTATTGCAGCAGCACTAAATAGGCAGTTATTCAACATCCAAGCTAGTACTATAGAATATTTTTTGAACTGCAGTTTTCTACACAGTAGATAAGAAGAAACAAAACCTTCGGGGCCAGTTATGTTAGTGAGAACTAATCTCATGCAATTGACTTACTGGATTTCCCCCCCCCCCCGAACTTCCTTGTTCTTCTAGAATAACTGTCTGAGCAGACCAGTCATCTACCTCGTTCCAGAAATCGAGCTGAAGTTTGCTAATAAGCTAAAGGACATTGTCAAACGTCATCAGGTAAACAGATGTAACATGCATAACATTTAATGAGTCGCATGCTGTTCTGTCTGGGCAGCTCGCAAACCCATAATCTCACTTTCGGGCTCTATTCCTGGAAAGGAAACGGAATCTAAGATGGGGGAAAAGTTGCTTCTGGTTTCCAGGCCTTGCGTGCCCCAGACAGAGTTGGGATTTGGCCTGCTGAGAGTGCTCCTCCACAAACCTTTCCTACCCAAAAGCCCTGCCTCCTCTAGGCGAGGGAGATGCTCTCCCATTTCCAAATGGAGATGACAGCTCAGCTTTCCTTGCATCTGAAAGAGAATTCCTGCTGTTATCTCTGGTTGTGGGTGGTAGAAAATCCAAGCCCCGTTCTCCAGTGTTTGCAGGAGCTAGCTGAGTCCCTGCTGTGCTGTCAGTTGGTACCCGAGAGGGTCAGCTGGAAGCAAATGTGTCTGTGCTAATGGGCATATAGTGTCCTGATCGAGGGAAGGAATTGTACCCCTTTGGCGTCAAGAGGAGGGCGACTAGAATGATAGAAGGTCTGGAAACTAAGCTGTGTCACCTGAGAAATTTAGTGTGGGCATTAAGAGTACAGTAGGGTGAATGCTGTGTTATTTCCCCCTGTTTCTTTGCTCCGTTGAATTCATTTGGGGTTCTCAATAATCTGGAGAAACTAAGCAACAGGGCGGACTGTTTACGAGTGCTAGCATTTTTCTCGGCCTTTCTTGGTCTGTGGGAATCTTCTGAGCTTGAAAGATGGAGTAGAATGAACCCGTCAGGAGACAGCAATGGACCTGGGCCCCTGGAGTTGGCTTATCTCAGAATACAGGGGGTGGCGCCTCCTTTGAAGGAAGCTGAAGTGGAGCCTGAATATGTGCCAGTTTTAGCTTGGTGTTACATTTTCTGAAAGATTTGTCCCATCCACTGTCAGGTTTCACCTGGGCTGTGAAGCAGGAGTATTTTTGAACAAGCATAGCAGACAATTTTTTTAAAAAAAGAAAGAGAGGCAGAAACATTGTGGCACCTTGAAGTCTTAACTGCTCTATTTTAATGTGAGTTTTTGTGGGTCAAGTAAAACTGTATGACTGCTTGGAGACTATTCTTTCTATAAATAAAGAACTTTCTCTGCCTATTTCTGATGGCGTACTTTCCTTTGCTTTTTATTAGGGCATAATCACGGAAGACAAGTCTAAGGCTACCCACCATATTTATCCTGTTCCTACCTCATTGGATGAAGGTAAAAGAAAACCCTGTTTTTGTGGGATTTTATTGTCTGTTAAAATCATCCTTGGTGGAAGACACCAGGAGAATCTTTGGCCCAAAGGTGAGGTTAATTTTTTTTAAAGCAGGTGACCTGTTTTGTGCCAGGCCTCTTAGTCTTGTGAGGTGAACTTAAGGTGTCAGAGGTGATGTTAAGTTTGAGAAAAAGGGAAAAAGTGCAGGGTGGACTTCAGTTCATGGGTATTTTGATCAGGATTTAGTTCTTTTTTCCTCCTCTGATGTAGGAAATGCAGAAATGGTTTTGAATGTGATCTAGGAAAACATGGGACAAATAAGTTATTTAGTCTCCAGGTACTATGTGCTAATGGGTATAGGGGAAGAGCAGCCATCCCCAGCTAGATTAGAACTAAGCAAGGCTCATTCCTAAAAGTACAGAGAACTGCTCACATTGGCAGTTGACCGTCACAAGCAATAGGTGTCAGTTATCTGGCTCAATGTAAGGCAACTTATTTTGTTGGTAGGTCTCAGAGACTGCGGGTTTCAGTAAACTTGGCCAACAGGGCTTGAGTCATTATCAACAGCAGTTGTTAGACATATAGGAGCAAAATGGCCCAGCTCACTGCCGCACACAGCTGGCTGTCTCCGTTTTGACAAAGGAGATGTCTTTTTGGTGGGAAAGGCGAACCTGCACGAATGAAGTTAAATGTGTTCAGATCAGTGTATTGGGTCAAAAATTTCATAAGAAAGGTGGGTTTCCTTTGGAGGGGGGTATACGAACGAAGGGCAGGGTGAGGCTGCTCAGAGAACTGGATATAAAAGACTGCAAAGGGGAGGATGGAAGAATCATTAACCCGCTTCTCCACAAGTAGCCTCTGGCCCCACACACAGTCCACGGTGTTTGGATGTCAGTTCCTTTCCCCCAAAGCCTTCTGTCCTGACTGAAAAATGTGTGCCCTGCTACCCACCAGAGGTGGAACTCTTTTAAGTGATCATGGGAGATGGCAGCAGAAAGAGGGCTCTTTTCCACTGAAAATCCATGAACCTGAGGCACACCGCAAAATGGGAAGATCGAGTGCTTTTGAGAAGAAATTGGGGTGGGAGTATTTTCTGGGTTGTTTTGAAGTGCTGCAGTTCACCAGAATAGACCGGGGAGAAAGGGGAGCAGGTTGGGCAAGGTTTTGCGGGCAGTGTCATCCATTGTTGGCAGCTTAGGTGGCAGGAAGCGCCGTTCCCTTTTTTCCTTTTGTGACCCCTGTGACCCTTGACTCCATTTCTCCTCCATCTTGCTTTTTAAATTTTTTTTAAATATTTTATTAATACAAAATGAACCTACTACTACACAAAAAACCTATATAAAATACAAAACAATACAATACAATAAAATACAATTACCCATGTGCACCCGTCACCTTCAGGACTAGCATTACACTTCGTTCCATTCATTTTCACTCCAAAATATCATTGTTTCTCCCCTTAGTGTAAACCTCCTCCCTCTCTGAAATACATGTTCCAGAAATACATTCCATATTTTCTTAAAATCATTGTTTTTCATTTGGCCTCTACTTATTTTCATATCACATGTCAGTTTATCAATAATTGCCATGTCCCATAATTCTCTATACCATTCCTCCAAGTTAAATTGATAATCATTTCTCCCAATTCCTTGCAAATATTATCCTTGCTGCCGTAATCATTATTACTATTAAATCCTTATTTTCTTTCACCAATTGATCTTCCTTAATCAGATTCAGTAATGCTATTACCGGAGACACTTGAATATTCAATCCAGTTATTGCAGATATTTCTTTAAATATTAAATTCCATTCTTTCTTTTTTGGCATAACCACCACATATGTAAATACGTCCCCTTCTCTTTTTTACAGCTCCAACATAATGTTGACACATTTTTATCTATTATATTCATTTTGACCAGCGTTAAGTACCACCTCCAAATTACTTTATAGCAGTTTTCTTTTATCCTTACTGACATGTTCTTCATAATTCTCTGATCCCGTATTTTATCCCATTCTTCTCCTATTGCTACTTTATCCAACTCTCCTCCATCTTGCTAACGTGGCTTGACACCCCCCCTCGCCTTTGCCTCCCAGTCCTCGAAAATCCACCTCCCTGCATAGGGTGAGGTTTGTTCCCATTTAGTATGGTAGGACCCCTGAGTAAATATTCACCTGCTTGGGTTGCTCATTAACACCAAGTTAAACATTCATGGTCTGAAAACAGTCTAATCATGTATAAACTCACTGGATTTATAAACATGTAATTACTGTGATTTCTAAAGGAAGTAGCTTGACCCTCCCTGGCTCTGCTTCTCATAGTTGTGCATGTACGTGTACGTGAGAAAGAGTTTGTGTTTTAGAACGGGGCCCCAGATTCACTAGATTCTGCAGCCCATCCAACACACAGACACACACAAACACATAGAGAGAAGGCTACATAGGCTTGGCAGTGATGAGCAGGATGGTATGATCACTTCGTGGTTCCACCAGGGGGCAGCATTTCCCACAGTATGGCCATCCTCAGCGCAAGAGCCTTTTTCTTGCTGGCTCACTGTTTTGCATTTGGGCAGCACCTGGACTGAATGGCCCCTGCATGCAGAATTCTTTGGTGATTAGCCTCCCTCTGAAAGCGATTGCTCGGTTTGAACGGCTGTTTCCAGTGCGAAGGCTGGAAAGGCTTGAATGAAATCCAGGTGCCTGGTGAAGGCAGCTTTTCGTGCTGGCAGCCCTTTGCTCGCCCGTTGTGTCTGCCTAGGCCCCAAGCGGAGCGGTTACGGGGGCTCCCCGAAGAGGGAGGTGCCTGGGGAGCAGAGTACACCCTGGGACTGAGCTTATGGTCCTTGAGAGAGTGACGTTCTTACCTCTTCACCCCCCCAAAAAAAAACTGGGGGCCAGGGTTCCCTCCAAGGTCCACGGCTGCATGAGTGCGTGTGACTCCACCCCCTCCACTCAAAGCGTCTCCTCCTCAGCTGTCAGTTTCCATCCCCTTTGGTTCTGGTCACGATGGACGGGGCGGGCAGGTTGTCAGGGAGTGGAGTCCTACCAGCAAGGGGGTGGAGCCCCCCCCCCAGCAGGGCTGAAAAGGAAAGGGAATGTGGGTGGGAGGGGGGCGCAGGTGGGTAGGCCCTGGCTCCCCCTCTGCTTAGCGGGCTTGAGCTGTTATACCTTATACACAGTCCCACAGAGCCCATGTGTGGCTTTGCATAAGCGCCTTGATAAATCACACCTCCTCACTTTGCTGATGTCTATGTCTGTTATTGTATGTCTCTGTCTTAATTTGTGACTTTCCATCTCTCGTCTCCTTTTCCTTAGGCAGGAGGAAATACTGGCTCTAGTCACTGTAGCTTGAACCCCTCTTCTCCTTCTTCCAGATCTTGCTGTTGTCTCCTTGAAAGCCGTTGCCTATCAAAGCTTTGCTCTCCTGCAAAAGGGGCGAGCGGTTGCTAAGCCATTTGGCGCTGTCTCCCTAATGACAGTTACCTTTCCGCCGCCAGAGCCCTGACTCTTCAGAGACCTGCTTGGCCTTGAAATTCTGCTGTCTCAGCCTCTCCTCCTCCCTTAGGGGGGATGAAATGTCTCACTTCAGAAATAGCTTTTCCGCTTTCTGGGATGAAGTGTCACTTGAAAGCTGTATTGCACTTCCTTTATTGGGAAAGGAATCATTGTTCTTTTTTAAAAAAAGTAATTTTATTGCATATTACAAAAAAAAATGCACTTGAGTAGATATTCAGAAAATTCTAGTGTGGGAGCCAATATGGAGAGGAGGGTTCTGTGCTGAACCGGCTTCTGTCCTGTTTCTGCCTGATAATATTGAGAGAGACACGGAAGCCTTAGTGAAAGGGACTGACTGAAAAGGATTGTACAGGGTTGAGGACTCAGAATGAAATGACAAAGGAGAAGCTGGCTGGAAGACAAGCTTGCTCTGTGTGTGTGTGTGTTGTGTGTGCGCGTGCTGTTTGCCGCCCTCCTTTTTGAACTCTCTGTGACCTGTATCACTTTCTCCCTTCTCTCTTCCTCATGGCTGCTTGAGCCTTTCCTCCACCTTCTTCGTGGATTCCAGCATTTTTGTCAAAATAGCTTAGCATAGCTAAAGCTGTACAAATGTACATCTCTTAATTGCCATGAAATAGTTTGGCGTTACAAGCTTCTCAAATAATCAGGAACTTTTTCAGAAACGATGCTTGTTTGTGGTAGGATTGTTGTTATCCGTTTAAAGTATTGAAATACTGCCTGTCTTCTCAGAAATTCAAAGTTGCCGGCATGCAGTTACAATACTCAGGCATCCACAGGATCCCTTTTAATCTAAAATGTCCTTAACTTTGAAACGCTGCAGTAAATTAATTTAGAATTAATGTCCCCTTGAGTGACCCCAAGTTAGCTAATACAGAGGAACATAATAAAACAGCGAGAATAACATAGTTCAAGGTACATTTAAGAAGTAGTTAGCAACTTGCAGAGTCAGTTTTTTTTTAAGACAAAGGTGTGGAGCGAGGTGGGAGGTAAGAGATTTTGGAAAAGTAATTGTCCTCATTATTGCAAAACCAACAGGTGTACAATCTCCCGAGTTATTTCTAAACTGTTTTTATAATGAATTTGAACATCTAATAAATAGGGGGTCAGATTTAATAGTTCCCCTGTACCTCCTGCATTGTCTTGGATTGTGTGCAACGCTTAAAAAAACATTGTCAAGAGTCATGCTGACAGCATCACATGCCACACCCTGGAAATTGCACATGTTAAACCGCTGCCCTGCACAGAGTAGGATGGCAGTGAACCTACTCACCTCGCACATAGGATGTGCTCTGTCCCTTTTTTTGGTCTGATGCTATTTTAACCGGTTTCTCTTGCCTCCTCCTTCTCTTCCTCTCCCGTCTCCCTTGCATCACATGGGCATCTGTAGGCTCAGAAATGAGCTGTTCCCTTCATGTTCCTCACAAGAGCTGCTGTCCACCAGTTGCTTTCTCCCTGTTGTTCGGCATCCCATGATTGTCACTGACCTCCGATGGAGACTTTTCCTCGTTTTTTTTTGGGATGGCAAAAAGTGAATGTCTTTCTGATGCCTGTAAAGCTGCAGTCACATCCAGCAGAATCATTTTCTGATCCTAGTGGCCTTTCTTTCTTTCTTTCTTTTGCAGAAGAGTGGTTAAGACCTGTGATGAAAAAAGACAAGCAGGTTCTTGTGCACTGGGGCTATTATCCAGACAGGTGAGAGAGAGAGAGCCTTGGAAGCTGGAGTCCTCCCACCCCCCACCCCAGTCCCAATACAGTTCCCTTGGTTTTATAACACAAGAGGGAGACCTTCTGTCTCAACTGGTTGAAAATCAAGGTTTCTCCCTGTGCTGAATGTTGTCTGGAAATTGCCATTGCGTCCACCTGTGGTTAGGATAATGAAATGTGTTACTTTTTGAAAATACAGAATTGGTTCAGAGGTAACAATACTGAACCATTACTAGCACTAGCTATAGTTTGGGCCACCCATTGTCTTTTGTCCTCCCAACAGGCAGATCTTGCTTTGTGTTCCCACCTTCCTTGAGAATCCTTATCTCAACAGTTCCCATCCTTGTGTGCTTCCATTATTATTCATTTGATGAACCTCATTTCAAGTCATGCTGGCTTGAGATCATGGGATACGTTATAACTCCAGAACACAAGAGCCACCCACATTTGAAAATGTCTGTTGGCATTGGCTGTCCCACCAACCCAAACTAGGGTTTTAAACCAGTGCCTCCAAGTTACAGTGTTGCAGGCGCCTGCTCCAGGCGGTCCTTCCGGTCCCTGCTGGAAGGCTGATGGCAAATCACTTGGGTTTTGTGCTCCTTGGACGGTGTCCGTTCAGACACCACCGCACAGACTCTGGTTTGGCTTTGCAAGAGGAGATTTGACTGAATCCTGTTGAGAGATGCATGGAAATGAAAACCTTGAGAAATCCACACAGAATGCAGTCCATTCGGTCTTCATAACTGACTCAGGCCGACTACCGGCTCCATGGAAAGTGTCCTCTCCCAGCTGCATCTCTTGCTCTGTAGTTCGTGGGTTCTCTAAGGGGGGTGGTGGAGAGGAGGGGGCTAGTAGTGTTTCCGGTGAAACAGTGACTGAGGAGGGGCTTTTTACTTCTGCTCTCAGGATCCCGTCACCGCAGTTCTCATTGGCCAGGTTGTGGAGATCTGGAATAGTAGCTGCACCTTGTTCTTTTCAGAGACGGGTGTGAATTCGTTTTTCCTGCTTCCTTGTAGTGTATCCCTTAGGGAAAATGTTAGGTTTTAAAAGGAAGTTGCACTGAGTATGGCGCAGCATCCGTGCTGCTACTTGAATGGCTGAACGGCCCAAAGTATGGATTGGCATCTTTGTCTTGAATTTTCCTTCAAGCTACGACACTTGGGTCCATGCTGCAGATCTAGAGGCTGAAGTCGAAGACCCTCCTATTCCAGAAAAGCCCTGGAAGGTGAGTCTGTGCTGTGCTCTGGATTCCTCTGGAGTGGCAGTCGATTCAGAACAGTGTCCCCACCCCCACCCCCGGGGCAACTGTCTATGAAAAAGTACAGGGGAGTGTTTCACATATACAAAAGACGGAAAGGGTGGAATAGCACTATGAGAATCAGGAAAGCTTTTCTTACTCAAACCAACTCTGTGAGAAGAAGCAATTCCTCCAAAAATAGAGGTGAAGGAGGGGGGAAACTGTAGTTAGTTATTCACTGATGTTAGCGTTTTGTTTATCCCCTAAAAACCTGGATTATGTGCAAGCAATGTTTTTTTTTAAAAGCAAAATATTTAAAAACTTGTACAGCCAGCCGTGCAAAGCACAGATTAAAGAAACGGGGGGGGGGGGGGGAAAGGAGATTGATTATACTTCTTTTGTGTAAAGCCTTTGAAAAATGAAAAAGCTGACATAGCAGAAACTAAGCTAGAGAAAAATCTTGGCAAGTGTTCCTGAGGGTAGCTGAGTCAGTATGGCCGAGATAGCACACTTTCAGTTCATCTTGTACCTGAATTGGTCGGTCAGAACTGGGGTTCCCTCCCCGAATGTGGAGCTGCAGAGAAGAGAAAGATGGGCCACTGGATTGACGGGGCCACTGTCGGTCCTGTGCGGCTCCACCTGGGAAGCAAACTCTTCGCAGCGTTGAGTACCGAGCTTGCCACGTGAGCTGCTGCCGCCCTTCACCGGCAGGGAGGCTGTGCTGTGAGCACCTGCGCGCCAGGTTCTTCTCCCAGAGAAGTCCTAGCTTGAGTCAGCATGGCGCTTTCAATGTGCAGCGTTGTTTTTCGGTCTGCAAGAGTTCTCTCGCTGGCGGAAGGGTGTTTAATAGTTGTGCTATAGATAAAATGACCTGTCTGAGGGAGTGCCTGGGAGTGTGTGTGTCTGTTCTCGCCCCTCACCGCCCACTCCACCAGCACATCTTGCCTTCTGGCTGCTCTCTTGTCTGAAAGAGGGCTGGAGGACGGCTATGTGGGCATTCTGGGGGGGGGCGGGGGTTACCGCTTGCAGCCTGGACCTAGGAGGCCTCTTGCAGCCAGTTGACGCTAGACAGCCTTTGCGGCTTCCTTCTGCAGGAGAGACAGAGGTGGGTGAAGAGGCAGGGGCCGAGAGGAGAATCGTTATCGGAAGGGGCATTGAGAGTCCTGCAACCAAGTGAGGTGCCCTGCCAGCCTTGCCTTGGTCTACCTCCACCTGCAATCCCTTGAGTCAAGGATATAACAGATGGTTCACTGCATTTTATTTTTATGACAAAGGCTTACTGTTTTCGGAGCTGACATATTGTTAAAAGGGCCAAACACTGAAAAGAAGAGCTCGTTTATTAGGCAGGACGAGGTCAGGTTGATTCAAGTTTTGGAGCACATATTAATTAGGGCAGGATTCCCGATTTCCAAATTGGAGCCTGCTGAACCTGGAGGCTGCGCTCGGCTGGCAGCCTGATTAATGATTGGAGGCCTCTGTGCAGAGCCGCAGTTTGAGGCTGATCTCATGCGCTGAAAGGCAATAAAAGAATTGTTATGCGAGGGAAGTGTTTCTTCTCAGATAATTGCTCTATTTATTTGTGTGACAACATGGAACATTCTGAAAAAGGGTTTCTGGATTCATTAACCCATCTGCCTGCCCTCAGCAGGGGGAAGAGTCTTCCAGGGTGAGAAGTAAGATGAAGTGCATGTGCCCCCCTCCCCTTGGAGGTGGACCAGGGGTCCATGTCCACCTCGCCTGAAGGCTCCGTGGATGCCCAGTAGCCCTTGTGTCTTCCACGGATAGGACCTTAAATACATGGTTTCACAACGTTGTTTCTAGATCTAACTCTGTGTGTGTTTGTTTCTCACAAGTCAGGAGGCCATTCTTATTCATCAAGGCCAAGGTTCCTTCTAAGGTGTCCTTCCCCCCCCCCTCGCAGCCTTCCTCCTCCGAGCACCAACAACAGTCGTTTTCAGTCCCTTTGGTTCCAGTCGCGGGTATTAGAATTGCGCACGGGGGCAAAGTTGCACACGCAAGGGGCAGAAAATTAGAGGGAGTGTTGGCCCAGGCTGTAGCAAAGGCACTGCCGGTCATAATGGTTCTTTGCTGGTAGAACCTGAGCTTACCAGTCGCGGTGTTATTTCTAGCTCAGACGTCTAATGGTGATACAATAGAGGGCCCTACAGTTTGATTCAGGGACAGTCCCAAGCAGAGCTTCTTTTCCAGTGGAATCTCACAGAGATGATTGCTGCAGTTTGATTTGCAGGCTTCAAGAAGCTCCATTTTGTAACTTCAGTTGCTTTGAAATACCCATCCGGCCTTGTTCATAACGTGAGCCACCGTGCGTTGTACCTAGACCCTGCCTGTGTGGAATCATCGCCTGGGGGGTGGGTTACTGTCCATGTGCCATTCTGTTTACCTTTGTAGGTTCACGCCAAATGGATTCTGGACACGGATGTGTTCAACGAGTGGATGAATGAAGAGGATTACGAGGTGGATGAGAACAAGAAGCTGGTCAGCTTCCGTCAGCGGATCTATCTGAAAAATGAAGAGGTGGGTGCTCCCCTCCTTTTTTTGGCAGCTGTACCTTTGGATGTTCGCTTCCGTGGGAGGAGGCTTTGACTGAGAGCAGTTACGTGTCGGCTGTGGCCTGGGAGGAGGCAGCCAGTTTACTGACGGACATGGGTGTGGGGTGTGAGTCTCTTGCCACCTTTTCCCCCCAAAAGGCGAGGCGGTGCCCTGCATGGAACTGGCTGCGGAAGGGCGGGAGGGGGCCTGTTCCGTTCTGGGGATCCCCCACTCACCTTACCATTTTCCCCCTTGGGAAAATTCAGTCATGGTAACAGTGGTAGATGAGTGCATGGGAAACGCCCCCCCCCCAAGGGCATCTTTCCTGGAAAAATGAGGCAGGGTTGGTAAAAGCATCCAGCATGGTGCTAAAGCTGGTAGGAGGGAGCAGAGGGCATCCCTCTGCTACAGAGGTGAGCCCTGGATCTCAGTCAGTGGGTGGACAGTGCTGACCATCTTCGCTTTCTCAACAGCCAGTCCGTAGCCCTGAACGGCGGGATCGGAAAGCCGCTCCAGGGGCCAGGAAAAGAAAGCATTCCCCTTCACCCCCTCCTCCTCCCGTCCTGGTGGAATCGAGGAAAAAAGCCGGAAAGAAGGGGTAAGTAGGCTGAGCCTCTTGCGGCTTGAGATGTATCTTCCTTTTCTGAACTGTCAGGGCTGTGGGGGGAGGGCCGAGAGAGATGAGCCAGCATCTCCACCTGGCTGGATGCTCGTGGCAGGCCCTGCTTATAGGCAAGTCTCCTTCAGTGGATGGCATGGATCTTTAATGCTTCCTGTTGAGCCCTGTTCCTTGATCATCCGAGGGGAAGAAGACTTGGTGCAGTCATTACTTCCAATCTAACGGGTTCTTCACAGCTGACATGCAGAACCCCTTAACAAGCGAATTCTCTTTTTTGTGTTGCAAAGACTGTCCTAATGTAAACTGATTAACTACGTCAGAAAAAGGTCTAATTATACTGTTACTAAACTTTAAAATACAGTTACTTCTTTGTAGGAGCTTAATTTAAATGACAACACAGTGCATTATTTATAGTTAAATTCATAGTCTGCTTCCCTGCCATAATCCTTGAAAATAGTTAATAGCTGTGGTTGGCACCATTGCAACATGTAGAGTTCAAAGAATAAAAAAAAGGTGATCACTTCAGACAGTCGTTTGTTAAGAGACTTAAGAAAGGTTCAGAAGCCCCGGTTTGTATCTTTGAGACCTCACTGGCTGCCTGGATCCCTCCTTGGGAAGGGTCTCCATGAGACCCGTTGCTGCCTCACGAGAATCCCTGGGTGGGGTGGGAGGTCAATCTCACCCCCCCCCCAAAGAGCCTTCCTTTCAGCTGTCGAGTATACCACCTTCCATATAAATAACTCAGTTACAAGTTGATGGCCAGCAGAGGTGGAACAAAATATGTGTTCTAGGAGTTCTACAGTTAGATGTAGGAAGAAAGTTACCCTCCTAGGTTTGGGATCTGGGGGGACGTGCCCAGATCAGGGGAAACCCGCTTGTATGCGCAGGCTGGCAGGAGTGAAATGGACTGGCTACCAGACAGATGCAACCTTACCAAACCGTTTCCAGGGTACGCACGATGGTTTTGTGTTGGAGTCAGGGGGCAACTTGCCTTTTCTCCTTTTAAGTTATACCAAATGAACAAGCACAAGGAAGCGGTTGTGGCTATGGAACATCAGCCTACCTGTAACGAGTGCTCCTCTCTGTGTTCTTGTTGCCGTGCCGTATTAAATCTGAGGTCATTTTATTTTCCTGTGGGTGACAGGTATAATCCTGCTGGGGCACCGTCTTCAGTGTATGGGTAAAGTGTGGCAATAAAGGGTGATAAGGGTTCTTCCCACCACACACACACACCCCAAAATGGATGACTTTCAAGGCTCCTTCTAAACAGATTTCCTTGACATCCTTGAGAGGGGCTGGACTCGATCCAGAGGGCCCCTTCCAGCTCTTGTAAGATGATGATGACATATTCTGTGGCACACAACGTCTTGAAATTTGGGGCACAATATGTAAGAAGCTTGAAACGGGTTTTGCAGGAGAGAGCAGCACAACAGTTCTCTTGAATGTCTCTGCAGCGTTGATTATTTATATGAGTTTTAGTTAATGAATTTATTCAGTTTCCATATGCGTAATAACAGCCGTTTTGAAGCAGCAGTTATCCGCAGTCTGGTTTGAATGGTGGGCGTTGTGGGTGTGTTATGGGGGAGGTACCATTCCTTCCAGGCTGGCAGCAAAGGGGAAATGCCTCTCAGACATGACTTGCCGTCTGTAATACTAAATGTTTATTTAAGTAAAACATGTTTGCATGATTCTCATCCTGCATTGTCAACATACATTACCAGGAAAACTAACACATTTAGATAATACTGTACTCAAGATTCAGAGGGCTACACCAACATAGAGTACAGTACTGAAATATGGCAATAATATCTGCTGGATTAAAATTTAGCTTCCCCAGAGTTCTTCTATCTCTCCGTCTCTTCATTATATATTTCCTTAATACCCAACTTGTGTTGTGTACTTCAGGGCAGTTTCCGGCTTCAGATGGAGGGAACCTTCTTTTTCCAACAAAGGAAACCTCCCTGGAGTCACAGAGAACAGTCACAAATGCTGGCATGCTTACCTTCATGCACATTGTCCTAGGGTTTCCTTGTGAATATCATTGCCCCAGAGGGGCCGGGGTGACTTCCTGGCTAGGGAGGTCCGTTCTCTCGTCTGTATGGAGCAGAGCTGATGCGTGGATCCCTGTTAGGAAAGGAGTTTTATCTGTGGTTAAATCTCTCTCACAGACAAGCCAGCCTGTATGGGAAAAGACGAGGGCAAAAGGAAGAAGATGACCAAGAGGATCTTACCAAGGATATGGAGGACCCCACCCCTGTGCCTAATATAGAAGAAGTGGTGCTTCCTAAGAACGGTAGGCTGTGCCCGGGTCTTGACCTTGTGGTTGGACAGAAGGGGGGCGGTATCTGACACCCATGCAGTACCTTTGTTGACCTCCCGGGTCTGTCTGCATAGATCTGTGCTCGTCTTGTGCTTGGTGTTTCAGTAGGCTGTTAACTAGGACTGGGCTTTCCTTTTGCGTAAGTCATGTGGAGAGCTCCCCAGCTTAGGCTCTCCTCGTCCCTTCTTGTGGGGCCAGGAAGAGGCTGGTGGACACTCCGGTCTGTCTACTCCCGGAGGGCTACGGGTGCCACAACCCCCCCTTTTTTTAACTGCAAAACGAGTCCTGTGATTTAAAGCCACTTTGCTTTCAAGTCTACTTTCACATGCCTCAGCCCATTCCTGTGGCAGGCACAGAGGAATCTCCCGTAGGGGCTGTGAAAGGCCTGAATCGAGCCCTTTAGCTTCTTTTGTTTGTTTACCCATTTCCATATGTTTCCTCTTTGAAAGCAGGCATTTATGTAAAAGGTCTTAAAGCAAGGGGCTTCAAATCCCAGTTGAGTATGATTGGCCATGGAGGATTTGGTCCCGCCTCCAGCTCTTTTTCTTTTGGATTTTTTTCTCCCCTTCTTGAAGGAAGCCAGACTCTGCCCTTCTGCCTATGGCTTCCCTCTCCCTTCTCAAAGCTGCCTTGTGGATGGCATTTCCCGACACTTCAGTGGGTCATAGTGGTGTATTAAGCACCAGCCTACATCTGCCTTTCCCAAAATGTAGACTGGAACCGTGTTTGGTTTCTCCTGCTTCAGGGCATCTAAAAACCTATTTGTTAGGATGTTTAGCAAACCCTCCTGGAGAAAGGCACACACTTCCTCAGAGCAGAGTAAATGACAATAAATACTGCCGTACCACTCAGCTGACGCTGGTGCTACACGTTTGACTGTGCCAAGCTGTGAGTCTTACCTCCCGTCACCCTGTTTCTTGTAAATTGAAGTGGGCTGCTAAACACTGTGCCATGTGAACGCCAGGGGTTTTGTATAGCTGGAGGTAACTGCAATACGATCAACCCTGGGTAAAAAGGCCATTTTCCAGAACAGGAACAAATAAAGGAATATGAGCCTGGTGAGAAAGCTAGTCAGCATTGGCTGCTGGCTGTGGCTGAGAACGGCCCACTCACTCGGATTTCAGCAGGTGTGGCCTCAGTTGGCAACTCTCATGCTATTGTCTTCAGATCAGTCAAGTAAACCAAGCTTGGAAGTATGGGGCGCGGGCGGGGGCAGAATCTTGCCTTCACACGGTTGCCCATGGTCTCCGCCTTGCTTTGGAACTGATTCCTGCCTCTTTTTTCTGCCATGTTTTACCCTATAAGCTGGGCAATGTGACTTTTCCATTTGACCCTGAAATATGGGTGCAGCCCAGGAGGATAAGGATGCCACCTCACTTCGGCAGTATAATTTGCTTACTTTTTGTAGTGCGTCAGCCGCAAGGCAGGAGAAAAAGAGGGGGGCACAGCTGGAGAGTAAGCTGCCAAGACAAGGGCCTCTGCCGAGGTCAGCCGGAGGGTCGGGGTGCTGCGCTGGCCATTATGTCTCAAATAAGGCACACGAACCGCCTGCACTCAGATTTTAAAAGCCGTGACCATAGCGGCCTGCTTGAACACGGACGGCACAAACAAAATGAAAGTCTTGGGGTACCTTTAGGCATTAACGGGTTTATTTTCAGACAGACAGACAGACAGACAGATAAGAACCCAAAGGAAGGCAAGTGGGACTCATCAAGGTTGTCAGTCCATAAAACACGAAGAGAGGATGTTCGCAAAAGGCTCCAGCCGTGCCTTGAGCATTCTCCTAAAGGCTGCAATGGAGGAGGCCAGACAACGCAGCTCCACTGGGAGAGCGTAGCAAAGGAATGGAGCCACTCTCGGGAAGGCGTTGTTTCTAGGAGGTGACTTTCTGGGCTTTTCAAAGTAGCCGCAACTATATTAAGAAGGGCTTGCTCCAGCTCCAGTCTTTTTTTAAGACAAAACCTTCTTGAATGAGCCTGGGGCCATCCCTGTCTCTCAGCCTCACTTTGCCCTTGGCAGAGAGGATAAAATAGGCCAAGCAGCCTAAGTGATTCATCTGTACCTGAGAAACCAACAAGTAGATTTACTGGTCCAAAGTGTCTCTTATTCTCTGTAAAGCCATATGGTGAACAAGAACAGGTACGTTTTATACTCCTCCGACTGACTGCCGGCCTGTGCAGTTTACTGGCTGAAGAGATGGCAAAACTGCCTTTGTCAATGGTCGTACAACTGAGGGTTCCACAGCTTGATGCGTCTCCCATCTTGTTTAATTTCTCTCCAGTAAATCCAAAGAAAGACAGTGAAAACACGCCTGTGAAAGGAGGAACTGTAGCAGACCTAGGTAAGAGTTGCGTCCTCTTTTTGCTTTTTAATAGAACCTGTTTTATTCCTCCTGTGATGAAGGCCGCCCTGGGTTGCCAAGCTTGTCACCCAGCCGGATCAGAAAGAAAGTAACCACCATTTTCCATAGAGATTCATTTCCCAGTGGGCTCTTTCTCTTAAGAAGGAAGCGGAGGAAAAGCAGAGACTGCCAAACCACTGATGCCCACTATGACCTTTTATCACTTCCCTCTCTAGCGGTTGGGCATTGGAAGAATTGTGATGAAAGTGAGGTGGGGATCAGTTCTGACTAGAAGAGTCAACACAACCCAGCAGCGCATCCTTTTTTCAAACCTTGTGCTATTGAAAGAGTTTTCCCGGCAATCTCTCTTCTGTGAAAGAGTACCACTTACATTTAACAGAATCTGTGTAATTGGTCTGACAGGTTAAAATTCACACCGTTACAAAATGAAGTGGGGGTGGGGGTGGGGGAGAAACGGCTAGCTACCAGATCTTTTTAATGAACAAAAAGTTTAAAAGAAGGTCTGGCATTGTTTCCAGAAATACGTGATGACTGCAGCTGAGGCAGGTGCTCTGAGGCGTAGTGTTACTAGATTTGGGACCCCCTCTGAAATGCACACACGGACCCATTGGTCTGCTCTTTTGCAGGGGTGGCTCTTGGAGCAGGTCCCCTCTTCCTGACAGGCAGGTTTGCTGATGCAGAGGGGGTCCGCGGGCCTCACAGGCCAAGCCTTTCATGCCCCTGACTTCCCTTGGGGACCTTTTCTCTGCCCCTCACAGCAGTTGTCGAGAGGTGGGCTGCTTCCAGGCGTGAGGGTCCTGGAGCAGTTCTGAGTTCCCCTGAGTACCATGTGACAAGAGCTCCCTTTCCCAGTATACAAGGCAAGAAATGCGAGCTGTCTCACGCGCAAACCTTTGAAGCAATCCATGCCCCGTGTCCTTCCTCTTATCCTCCTTCCTTCCCTTGCTCAGCAAGTGTTTAGGGAGGGATTCGATTCTGCCACAACAAGAGCTGGTACGTGGTTTTCTCCTGTTGTTGCTCCAGACAATGTATTACGAAAGCTCAGTCATTCCCTCCATTTCTGACGGTCCAGGCTGTGAACTCTGTTGCTAACA